CCCCAAAACCCCAAAACCCCAAAACCCCAAAACCCCAAAACCCCAAAACCCCAAATATTGGCACTTTTATTGAAATTTAAAGATTAGTGCCTATTCAGGAACTCGTACACCTCCTTCTGCTTCTCATGAGGGACGACAATCAGTGAGTGCCTTTCTGAACGAGATAAGATTGGAATATTTGATCTCTTTCAGTGTTGCACGAAATGAGTGTATTTCTCCCTACTTTCAAAATCACGAATAAGTAATCCATCTTGTGAAGTAATTGTATTCATTTCTTCTTCCCAAATATAAATTTGTTGTACAACGTTAGAAGGGATAACAGACGCTTTAGCGTTTGAACCCTTGAGATTTAACTTCTTTTTCTTCTCTTTGACTTGCTCTTTACTGTCAACTAATATTCCTTTGGGATCTTCTTTTTCCTCCTCAAGTTCTTTCTTTATATACATTTGTTCATGAGCATGCTTTGCTAGAAAAATACAGATCTGATGGGCAGTAATGCCTTTCCTGAAGGCTTCTCTTGCTTTAGATCTGGTCAGTGTCCCTCCAATAAGATTTGGGAAGATTACATCAGTCTCAACGAACAGCTTCATAATCTCACGATTTAATCCATTTTGTGAGTATCAGTAGACTCTAAAATTTGTCTCTACGATAATAGACCTGTCCATATCTTTATTTGATTAATGACTTAGTTGCCTCTGTAGAGTCTAGTCCTAGAAGGAATCATCTCATCATTTGTGTGATGTAGAATCTCTTCTTTTTCTTCATGTAGATCAGCCCAATTTGTTTAAGTTCGACGAGAATTCTATAGACAGCCTCAAAGTTCATGTCGTCTTCATCCCCAATTATTCTATAACTCTTGTTGTTTGACAAAATCAGCTGGAAGATCAGTTTTAAGTGATCAGGACTACACTGCTTCATTCTTATATAATTTAGAAGGAGGATATGAATCTGTGTGCTGATGTCTTCCAGCATAAACTTGAATCCATCTACTGTAAGCTGATGCTCATCCTCTGTTTTGACTATTAAGTTAGCATGTCAGAGCAATTCAAGTAAGAATTCTGAGAAATCCACAATTTCAGCTTTACCAAGGAGGAAATAGATAATCCTCTCTATCTTTTCCCTAGCTAGTTCGTTTTGAATGTTCCCGATATCTTGCTTTTCACATGATTTCTCTTTGATAAGAGTCAATTTATGATCACTGGTCAGCACACGGAGAATATTTTTACAGAAAACTGGATTCAGGATGAGGGAGATATCTCCTCCTTTCTTTTCCTCCTGTAGGATCTTGAGACGTTTGAGTTTGCTAATTTGGATCTCAAATTTGTATATTTCGTCCTGGTTCTTAGCCTCAGGCCACTTTTTAACCACATCTTTATATGAGAGAGGTGAGGTAAGAAACATCATTTTGTAGATGATTCCCTTCGCGATTGGGTCTAAGAACCTGAAAGTGCATATACAGCATGAAGCATCACTGTAAAACTCATTCATGAGCTTCTGGTCATTCAAACTTGCTAGGTATTCAAAGATGTCAGGCTTATGATCATCATGCATGAAGTTAGTCTCCATCTTCCACCTAAATTATTAATTATTATTTCCGCAAAAAATTAGAATTGGGGTTTTGGGGTTTTGGGGTTTTGGGGTTTTGGGGTTTTGGGG